AATGTAGGCATGTAGGACCCGTGAGCATATCACTACGTGAAATACCTGGATCTCGCTTTAACTCCGGCCCCTATCTCGCTTCCCTTAGAACGGCTGCTCCCAATAATAAAATACATGCGTCCGTAGCCTTGGTTCTTTTGACGGAACTTTAGGTCATCGCTCATATAGATGTATGTATTTATGTCAAGACTTTCAAGAACAGAATTAGGGGTGTCCCTTGGCAATATCAGGGACTAGATGCGAATGCTGTGAGAAAGCTTGATGTGATACGTTACACCGGCCCAGGGAACACAAACACCGGGCTCATTTCAGTTGAAGTGGGGCGTATTGTGGTTGTATTTGGGCTATTAACATGTATTGTAAGCTACATGTATGTAATCACTGGGAGCACTGGGAAGAATCACCACAGGGCCCCTCTTCGTGGTTGCCAAAGTACGGATCTAATTCTTCGGGGCTGTGCCTGGAGGACCCCGTTTTGGAGAAGCATCCACGAGAATCGAATCTTGGAAAGCATGTCAGAAGAAGGGACACCCACAGTTTGGCTCCACACCTGTCCAGCTGAACAAACACAAACACAGCTGCCCAGCTGCGTTGCCGCCGCAAGGAGGATCGAGAAGCTGACCGTCACTGCGAGCATTTCTTAGCCAATCCACAAACAGGTGAAGCGCAACAAGCGAAGCGTGTTTCTTGCAGGGCGGAATCAAGCAAGTCACTATTTCCCCTATTACAAGCTAGAGCCCAGATCTCAGTATACCTACTTTCAAGATTGGGACAGAATTCTAAATAAATGAAAGCTGCTCATGTCAGTAGCACTACCAGTGCTGCTTGATATGGTGGTCGCTAAGGGACACATGCATGAGGTCACCTGAATTATCTGAAGACTCCATTTTCTAACATGTCCTACATCTGGCTGGTCATCCTGCTATCCTGGGAGGCCCCGTCCCAAAACGGCACCCCAGTCCCAAAACGGCACCCCAAAATAAGGGCAATTACAGGAGGGAGCCTCTAGTGGGGGAGTGTACACAAGGGGCATATAAGGGAGACATAAAGGGTATATTATAGGGACCATGGGGAGTTATATTAGGGCTGTACATATAATATGAGGTCCCTACAGGGTGACTCCGCTCATGTAATTGCCAACGAAAGACAATGGGTTGCCATCAATTGTTGTGAAGTCCTTCTGTTTGTCTTGATCTGTGTGGAGCTGGTTGCTGTTGCTGAAGCTATTGAGGAAGACCGAGCACGCATTAATCGGGCAGATTGCTGACAGAGAAAGGGGGAGGCGAAATGCTACAGTTGATGGAGGAAACCTTGCACCACCATCAGTCTCAAGTACCTTCATTAAATATAGGGAATGCTGCTCTAAAGTGTATGAGGTAAATTCCCACTACAGAAACCCTTTGCTGAACTTGGACCCCTAGTAAAACTGCAACTGTTACTTTGTTAGGAATCTAACAGGCAGAAAGTAAAAAAGTACCCCTCAGAACTTCAGAACCATACCTTGGACTATGTTGGTGCTTCGGACCTTTTAGAGGACCAAAACCAACCAAAGAGGGCTTTTTTACCAAGGAGTTTCTCTTCAAGATTCCCTACATAATGTTTACAAGGGAAGCTCCCCTGGATCCCTTTTGCATTTCGCAGATATCCTCCGTAGGGTCCCAATAACCCCACATCTGCGGTCAGCAGGCTGTAGAGCGTGTGCATGAGGCCAGAGAAGAGCTCGCTGCAACGCAGGCGCTCGAAGCCGGCCCCGCTGTAGAAGGCGATCGACTCTGCGTGCTCACGGACCTTGAGAAGCATTGATATTATTCAAGTT